GAATGAACTCCTGACACCTGCTATATACAACATGTATGAATCTCAAATACACTACGCAGAAATAAAAGAAGTGAAACATAAAGGCTACGTTTTGTATGATCTCATTCATATGAAAGGTCCAAAAAAGGCAACTCTATAAAGAAGAAAGCATAAGCACAGGTCTGCGAACCAGAGAATCACAGTTCAATTCCCAGTCAGGGCACATGCCTGGGTTGCAGGCCAGTTCCCAGCAGGGGATGCATGAAAGGCAACCATACATTGATGTTTCTCTCCTTCTCTCCTTCCCCTCTAAAAATAAATAAATAAAATCTAAAAAAAAAAAAAAGAAGAAAGCAGATCGGTGGTCAACCTGGGACCAGGAGATGCAGAGAGAGAGGGTGACAGAATTGTGGTGATGGTTGTACAAAGGTGTAAATTTACTCAAAACCATTGCACTGTCTATTTGAAACTGGTGAATCTAGTGGTGTGGGAATTATACGCCAATAAAGCTGTTAAAAAGGTTTCTCCTGGCCAGGGTTGAGATCTCTGGGTTCGAAGCCAAGTGTCCTAGGAACCCCTCAGCTGGGACCCAGGCTCAGTTGGTACCCTCCCTCCCAACCCCCACTACAGCTCTGGGCCAAAATTTCCTCCGATCTTAGAATTTCAGGAAGCTGCCAGCTGTCGCCCTTGGCTTCTTGTTTGGAGAAGTCTTAGATTTAATTCTGCTGCCTCAGCTCGTATGGGTATAAACATCCTGGCTCCTGGCCACTCTGCCCAAAATAGAAAAGTGGGCATCAGAGGGAATGGGTGGGATGATGGCCAGGACCACCAGAGGTGCCCCCACCCCTCCCCTGGGCTGTCCCAAACAGCCTGTTAGGGAGGCTGAGCGCTAACCCAGAACAGAGCCTGACTTGGGGCTCCAAGGCTCTGGTTCGCCCTGCCCCTGCCCCGGTACCTGGTAGTGCTCAGGCTGACTCATGCTTTCAACATACTGTGCCCTTTGGCAACCCCAGGCCCTAGTGCGGGCTGCATGCTTCCCCTTCCTTGCCCACCTGGAAAATCCTATTCTTCCTGCAAGATTCAGCTCACAGTCATCTCTTCTGAAGGCTTCTAGTTTGCATGCCCACCCCCTGGACATCCCAAAAGAGCCCTTACCTCCCTGCAGCTGAGGGTTTATTTATGGTCTGCCTCTCCCAAGCCTCTGTGGGCTCCCTGGGGGTAAAGAGCCTGCCTTATTTAGTGCTGGTTCTCTGGTCCGAGGGCCATGCTGAGTGAGGAAATGAAAGGGAGCGTGACACCACATCAGACACTGACAGCAGGGACGGGAAGGCCAGACACGCCATTCCCCTCATCTATTCCTGGCCTAAATGGCTTCTCTTATGTGGCCCCGGAATGGCCAGAGAGCCACTCCCTGTGGAAACCACAGTTTGGGGTGAAGCCTCCCTTTCGCAGCCTGCTTGCCTCAGAAACTGCCATAGTGTTATTTAAACTGCGGAATGGGGCCTATGGTTGGTAGCTCAGACCCAGCCTGGGTGGGGGCAGCCTGGAACAGGGTCATGCTGGAGCCTCCCTTCCCAAACCACCAGGGCCTCGGGGCTTGAAATGTGTGGCTCCCTCTCAGCAGCTTCTTACTGTAGAAGAAATTAATAAGGAGGTTAAGGTATATGGCAACCTCTGCCTGTGTGTTTATGCTTCTGCTTTGTCCTGCATTGAGCCCAGGTCCTCAGAGGCCCTGACAGCAGGCTCCCAGCCAGGACTGGCTATTGCTGGAGAAGCCCCACTTATCCTAATCATCTCTCCCAACGCAGTCCTGCCGTCCAGAGAGGTTTCTTAGTCCAGAAAAGTCGGCAGAGAGCTTAAAAGCCCCAGGATTTTTGCTTGACCTGTTCATCCCCTTCTTGGGAGTAGAGGATATTGGGCTGCTGGCAGGGACTCGGCCACAGTGGGTGGCTTGTGCTTTTCTTGGCCCCCCAAAGGGCACTGCCTTGGTGCTTCCATCACAGAAACTAGAGCCTGGAATAGAAACACGGACACCTGAAAAAGTCACCCAGACTTCAGTCCAGTGCACTCTGTCTACAGTCAACAAATACAGTATTTAGTGTGTTGGGCACAGGGCCACAGGGGAGAACAGCCTTGGCCCTGCACTCAAGCAGTCACAGCTTAGTGAATGAAAAGAATGAAGACACTGAGCATGGGCCCACATGGAAATACAGAAGAGGGGATATGACCTGGCCTGGGGGCAGGTGAGTTCAGGGAAGGCTGCCTGGTAGAGGTGACATCTAAGCTAAAACTTGAAGGCCGAATTAGGCAAAGTGGAAAGAGTGAGGGTAAATAGCATATGCAGAGACCAGGATCAAGAGACAACCTGGTACACTTAGGTAGTTCGAGATGGCTGGGACTGGATGGAGATGGTTTGAAGCTCCAGGTTGTGAGAAACACAAATGAGTGTCAAACGCTTGGCTCAGCCCATCACAAATGCTCTGCCATGGTTCTGCTCATTGTGAATCAGACTGAGGGTTTGGGACTTATCCTGCAGACGATGAGACATTCAAGATTTATAAGCCCAGGGTTACTCTGTCTGATTTGCAAAACAAGCAGACGTAAAGGGAGCCCGGTGACTGATGGATGGATTACAGACTAGGAGACAAGCAAGGCTGGGGGACTGGAAGACCAGCTGGAGACTACTATAATAATTCAGAAAAAAAGTGGGGGTAGGGATCTTGAACTATCCCCCAACAGCAGAGTAGATAGACATTGGAAGGCGGAATACGACTATGAAAATGAATTGCAGATACCCGCGACAGCGGAGATGGGTTTGCAAGTGTGATGTTGAGCAAAAGAAAACACAAATTAGGGCTGTATAATTCCATTTATATCAAGTTAAAGAACAGGCAAAACAAAACTGCAGTGTTTAGGGATGCATGCTTAGGTGGTGAGCTATAAAAGCAAGGAAACAATGATCACAATAGTGGGGAGAGTGCTTACCCCATTGGGGAATTCTGCTTGACAATAACTTGAGCTGAATGGTTTTTTATTCAGGTGTTTTTCTTAGAAGGGAAGGGGGAAGAGAAACATCCATGTGTGGTTGCCTTTCATGCACTCCCTAGTGGAGACCTATGACCCAGGCACGTGCCCTGACTGGGAATATAAACCTGGACCCTTTAGTTTACAGGTTGGCACTCAATCCATAGCAGCCAGGGCCAAAGCAGTGCTTTTACATTTCTGTTTTGTGCACATTTCTGTATGTGTGCTATCCTAACAAAAAGTTTTAAAATAATGGGGCTTGCTTTAAGGTAGTGGAAACAAGGATGGAGAGGTTTTTACTGTACGTGGCAAGTGAGACAAAGGTTTGGACCCAGTCTGATGAGAAACCTGTTATTTATTTTTTAAAAGATTTTATTTATTTTTAGAGAGGGGAAGGAAAGAGGAGAGAAACATCAATGTGTGGTTGCCTCTCGCATGTCCCCTTCCGGGACCAGGCCTACAACCCAGGCACGTGTCCTGAATTGAACCGGCAACCCTTTGGTTCGAAGGCCCACACTCAAGCCACTGAGCTATACCAGCCAGGGCCTACTTTTTAACTGATTAGAGAGAATAGAGAAAGGGTAGTGGTGAGAGACATAGCTTTGTTGTTCCTCTTGTTCATTTATTGGTTGTTTTTTGTATGTGCTCTGACAAGGGAAGGAACCTGCAACCTTGGCCTATAGGGATGATGCTCTGAGCTAGCCCTTCAGGGTGAAATCAAGTTATTCTTAAAATTGAGGTAACATTGGTAAATATACTAGTTTCAGATGTACAAAAGTAATTCAAGCTTTGTATACATTACAAACTGATCACCAGTGTCTAGTTACTATTCAACACCAGCAATTGACTGCCTTTACCCACTTTGCCCCTACCAAACTGTTGTGTCTTCTTAAAAGACTCTACAAGTGGAATCATATGGTATTTATCTTTCTCTTATTTAGCATAATATCCTCAAGGTTCATCCATGTTGCAAATGGCAGAATTTCCTTTTTAATGGTGTAGTTATTTCAGTATGTATACCTGTATCACATCTTTACCCATTCGACCATTGATGGACATTTAGGTTGTTACCACACCTTTATGCTACAGCATTATGCTATTATACATAATGCTGCAATAAACATAATCATAGGGGTGCATACCTTCCCAGATTAGTGTTTTCTTCAGATCGGTATCTAGAAGTGGAACACCTGGATCATATGGTAGTTCTGTACCCTTTTCCATCGTGGCTGCACTGATTTATGCTCCCAGCAACAAGTGTAGAGGGTTCCCTTTTCTCCTCAACCTTACCAACAAGTTACTCATTTATTTTATCAGATAGAGAACTTCAGCCCTGACTGGTGTGTCTCAGGGGATTGAGCATTGGCCTGGGAACCAAAGAGTCACCGGTTCAATTTCCAGTCAGGGCATGTGCCTGGGTTGCAGGCCAGGTCCCCAGTGGAGGGCAGTGTGCAAGAGGCAAGCACACACTGATGTTTCTTTCTCCTTCCTTTTCCCTCTCTAAAAGAAAATACAATCTTAAAAAGAATAGAGGACTCTATTCTTAATTACTATTCACAGTACTGCCTCCAGTTTTGACCCTGCCAGCACCACCAAGCTCCATGGGGACAAGCACCATGGACACAAGAAGCCACCAAGGTGGGGTATCGGCAGCCTCTGGCTCCACATGGGAAGCTCATAGAACAGTAGGTGTCAACTCTTTCTCTCCAGCTACCCTTAGCAAGCTCGCTCACTTGGGAACCCGGAAGAAGGTGGAGCTAGTGAGTCTCTGGGCCTCTACATGGAGTTAGGTAGGCATGGGATCAACTGCTAGTCTGCTAGACCGACTTTTGTGGTTGGTTTGAGGTCTCAGTGAGGATTTGCACTGTAACTAGTGGCCATAGATGTCAGTGTTGGAAAGCCCCTCAGATGCATTGTCTATAATTTCCCAACTTTGTCCAAAATCATCTTTGTTTCTTGAATGTATGATGTTTGTACTTAAAATTTGCCAGCTGAACTCAGCACGCAAAGTCATCTTTATTAGGTCTCCACAGCTGTTCTTTCTTCTACTCAAGAACACTCATAACCGTGCATCCTCATTATGGGAAAAGGCTGGATTTGCATGCTGCCCGGATACAGGAAATGGCACTAAAAATTCTGGACAGAGTCCCAAGACTGCGAGCGACCACCTGAAAAAGGCAGAGATGCGCGAGTGCTAGGGTCCGGACCACGCAGCGTTCAAAACTACGTCATCAGGGCTCCGCCCTCGGGTCGACGTCGGAGCCAAGCCCCCGCAGGTTTCAAACCCGCCCTGCGCCCCCTGGTGCGCATACTCAGTCCGACCCTGCCTGCGCACCGCCCACCCGAGTCCTTCTGCCCCAGCGGGTGTGCTGCCGTGGGAAACTGAGGCAGGGAGTATTTGTGAGTCCGTTCCTTACTCAGTTCACACCCCAGGGCCCACAAAGCTACCTCCCCCTGCCCAGACCCGCATGGAAGAAAAGGGAAAGACAGAAGGAAGGGGAGGGGGTGGAGAACTAGCAGGGTCTGAGGACCCGGCCGGTCCGCCACACTCAAGATGGCGACCGGCAGCGGAGAGATCCCTCAGAGGCGGTACCGGCGCATGCGTAGTGCGGAGTCCCGGCCCGGGACACAAGATGGCGGGAGCGGCGCTGGGGAGGGCGAGGCGGAGGCGGCAAAACGGGCAGCCGAGCAGAACGTGTAGCCGCACCCCCTCGAGTCCGCTTCGGGCAGGTAAGAGCCCCAGGAAGCCATGGTCCCGCCGCGAGCCCTGCCAGGATCCGGGAGTCCGAAGCTGCGTGGCCGTGGCCTCTCCGATGCTTTCCACTCGGGGCCACCGCTTGCTTCGTTTCTGTCGCTGCCGCCATCTTAGGCCTTCGGGTGGGCGGCGGGGCCGGTGGCCCGGGTGAAGGAGGTGGGCCCGGAGAGCGCAGGCGGAGCGGCCTCTAGGGCCCCTCCGCTGCTGCCGCCGCCACCGCCTTTGTGTCGGGCTCCGACTCTGAGTCGCCTCAGCCCGGGGGCGGGAGCGCGCGGCGGGGCGGGGGGCGGAGTCCGAGAGAAGGGCCGACGCGCGCGCGCCAAACAGCCCGCCCCCGCTGAGGTGGGGGAGAGGGGAAGGTGTGCGCGCGCTGGGGGTCGCCCCTCCTTCGCGAACCCCCGCACCTGCGCACTTTGCCAGTTCTTTGACTCCGCCCTACTGAGCTGGAGGGTTCTTATTGGTGTATTACTGAAATGATCCCGCCCCATCATTGTCCAATCCGGGAGTCGGACTGTACGTTTTGCTGGGTTCCTTTGGTTGCGCAGATAGAGTTGTTTATCCTTAAACTGTCACACATCGGTATGCTGGGGTCCAGCGAGCTACAGGATAAATAAAAACGTTTTAATAATAACAGTTATTTATTACTGAGAGTTACAATATGCTAGACTCATGCGTATAGATAGACCTTAGAGGTTGAGTTGGGCTTACAAATTGGAAAGTGGCAGTAGAGCCTGGTGTCTAGGTTTGTCTAGACCCAGCTGGTACTTTCATCAACGGCCTGCTGTATTAAATCAGCTGGAAATTTTAACTTTTAAACTGTAAAGCATTGATAAAGATTTGAGATGGCTTAAAGCAAAAGGTTGTTCATAAGTCTCTTAGTCCCAATCTTGAACCTCATTTAAAAACATAGAAAAATAGAAATTCTTGTGTACCTCCCCTTCCCATTTCTGATTCCCAGGATGTGGCGTGAGGGTCAGGAATCTGATCGGGTTTTTTTTTTTTTTTTGCAAGCCCCCTGGTGGTTCTGATGCATAGCCGGTTTCGGAAAAGCTGCAGTGTCCCCATTTGGCCTCATTAAACCGTGCGCTGGTGTGCCTGCTGTGCATAGTTAATCTTCCTGGTGCATCAGTATCACGCAGTGCTTCTTGGGGAAGACAGTTTTCAATAAAGATGAACACCCTGTGTTATATAATCCATTTGCTTGTGTGTGCGCTTTTTTTTTTTTTTTAAGACCTCATTCAAAGAAGTGTGTTTTTATCCCTCTGTGGGTGGCTTGGGACTTGCCCCTAATTGGTGATGTGTGTGGTGCTTCACTTTCCCCTTATCTTAGGGATACTTTGGTTGGCAGGATGAGCTGAGCAATTTCAGGAGTCCAGTGTGTAAAATGAAAATGTGGGCCCCTTGTTAAAAATTTCAACACAGTAACAGCAGAACCAGTCTCTGGGCCCTCTTCAACATGGAGGTCTCTGTGCCTTCAGGGTGCACGTCTGTAAGGGCAAACCCATTGGTTAGGAAGCTTGAGAAGTACCCTTTTCATCCCCAGAACTGCCAGCTCTCCCACAGTGGCTTTTGCAGGCTGCCAGTTTGCTCTGTGTCACTGCTCCTCTTGCTGTTGTCCCTGCTCTGCCGTGTTTCACAGGTCTGTGACTCTTTTCTTTTTTTACTCTGCAGTTGCCGACGCACAGAGTTCCCTGGGTCCCCGTTCACTCCACTGCTGACCGGCCCACCCACCTGAGCTGAGCCTTTCTGCAGGCCTCCCTCCTGCCTCTGTGGGACCCTGCAGCGTGGGGTCCATCTGGCCGGAGAAGAAAACCCTCTCATGCTAGCGTTGCAGACCCCAGAGGGTGAGAAAAAGGGGGACCTCGTTCAGCCTTGAGACCTGTGGGCTCAGCCCCAAGGCAGCAGGAACCCCTCTTCCTTGGAGAACCAAGGCAGCCAGAGCCTTTTCTCCCCTTGGTCAGTGGTTCCAAACCTTTTTGTCCCCGTGGCCCCCTTTTTATTGTACGTGTGTCTTCTTGCTCCTGAGTTTTTATCCACCAGACTGTACTGACGAAGTAGCCATTCACTTGTCCCTTTCCAAATTAACGGAGATGTTTGCAACTGAGTGTACAATAAAATCAATGTCCCAGTGATTTCTATGATGTCGTCAACAGCCAATCAGAGCTTCTGATCAGCATGAGATAATCAGCATGTCCACAATGAATTGATAAAATTTCAGCAAGCAAAGATAACTGATGTTTAAATGTGCCTTTGTGGCCTAAATGTTTGGTTTCTTTTGGGTATTGTGACATATTGAAAACACCTTTAGGATCATCTATATGGTCACAGTTGGCCACCTAGGAATCTAATGCTAAATTGGGAACTACTTTGTCTATCGAGACTTGTGCTGGGTATGTTTGGGTGGGGGTAGTAGGTAATACACATCTGAAGGTGCTGACCCTCTTCCTGGTATTTAAATAAAATTTCACCTGGGGATTACGAAGGACTGAATTAGATATTCCTTCTCAGTTCCACTGGTTCTTCTAGCAACAGGTTGCTTCCTACCCTGTAGCATAAAATGAGACATCCAGTTAGATGCCGTCTCCCTTCCTGGGCTGTGCCTCGTGCCAATGAGATTTTACTGGATAGAAGCAGGGAAGAGGAGTTACAATTCCTCCTTGTGGGAATAGCTTCTCAAGGGCAGACCCTGTTCTGTCTTGTTTGTTGCTAGTGCTTTGTAAACACATGCAGAATAAACAGAGCTCCTGTGGGGCCCAGGGACCCTGCTGAGCACTCCGGAGAGGGCTACACTGGACCCAGTTCCTAACCGTGGGAAAGCTGACAGACCACGGACTTCCCACGTGCCACTGCATAGATGTTCATGACCCTGAGGAGGGGCACTGGCCACTTGCGTGGGGAAGGGCGAGTCAAGGAAGGCTTCCTGGAGGATGCAAACCTAGTCGCAAGTCAGGCAGAGAACTGGGGAAAGAACATTTCAGGCAGGAGGAGCAACAGCAGTGTACTTATTTTATAGCTGAGAGGCTGTGACCTAGATTCCAGGCTCCTTCTGTGGCTCCCCCAGGGCAGGTCTGGGTTGATCTCCCACATCTGCAGGTGCTCCTGGGGCCCTCTAGGTTGTAATTGGTGGATGGCAGTGGAGCTGACCTCCATGCCCTGCTGGCCCTGACACCCTTTGGTCCTCTGTGGCAGGTCCGGTGTGGGTGCTGAGATGGCCAAAGAGAATCACGGCAGCCCCCGGGAGGAAGCGTCCTTGCTGAGTCACTCCCCAGGCACCTCCAATCAGAGCCAGCCCTGTTCTCCAAAGCCCATCCGCCTGGTGCAGGACCTCCCAGGTACTGGCAAGGGGCAATGGCAGGGTGGCGGGGTCAGAAGGGTGCCCAGGAGCCTCCCTGATCAGGCTGGAATCCGTGCTTGTTTGCAGAAGAGCTGGTGCACGCGGGCTGGGAGAAGTGCTGGAGCAGGAGGGAGAACCGTCCCTACTACTTCAACAGATTCACCAACCAGTCCCTGTGGGAGATGCCTGTGCTGGGCCAGCATGACGTGATTGTAAGTGCCGGCCTCGGGCATCTGGGTCTTCCCCAAACATACCCTGAACTAGCTATTCTGTGCTTAGTCCTGTGGGCACAGTGACAGCAAGACAGACACAACCCTTGCCCTCATGGAACCAGGACTTAAGCAGACTGGCGTGGAAAACTATGATTAAAATAGTGCATGATACTGAACGTGTACTGCATGTTGGGCACTGTGCTTGGGACACAGTGCGAACAAGATAGACGTGGTCCTGCCTTCCCACTCTCGGGGACACGCCTTCTGCTGGAAGGGCGGGCCAGTGGGATTACAGTGTGGTACTTGAGTGAGGGAGGGTTCCGGGGTGGGGGATTCTCTGCCAGCTTTTCTGAACAAGCGTCTAAGATAAGAAGGTTGGCTGAGGGTAAGGGGAGGACATGGGCATTCTGGGAGCTGGGACATCAGTGTGGTAGGGGAGATATGGGCTCTCCGATGGGAGCGTGGGCTTCTGGGTCCTTCTTTTCTTGCAACAAGTCAAGCCAGTTGGCATCCCCATTTTGCAGATGAAGACACAGGCTCAGAGAGGGAATATGACTGGTCCAAGACCTCACAGTCAGTAAGAAGCAGGACAGGACTTGCACATGTCAGGGCCCCACTGCCCATCACATTTATAGTCTTGGTGTTACCAAAGGTGTTCATTCACAGGGTCTTGCTTTTTAAAAATCAAGCATTTCTTGAGTTTTACTTTCATTCCTTTCATTCTGGTTCTTAAGGAAAAGAAACTAACATGTATTGAGTACTGGCCTCATGCCAGATGTCATGTTAAACTTGGTCATATTCATCGAATTGTTTAATTACCATCCCAGTGGCGAGGTATCATGGCCATTTTGAAGCTGAGGGGATTAGGAAGGGAAGTAACCCCCAAGTCACATAGTTGCAAGTATTGGGTTGGCCAAAAAGTCCGTTCATTTAGTTCTTTTCGTAAAATAAAAGACAGATTTTTCATTTTCACTAATAACTGATGTTTTGAGTATGTGGGCTGTCTTCTGTTATTGCCATCTAGTGAGTAGAGGCCAGGGCTGCTGCTCTGCATTTTCCCGATGCGTAAAACATCCCCACAGCAAAGAGTCATCTGTCAAAATGTCAACAGTACCAAGAAACTTCGCAAATCCCTTTAGACACATTTGGGCACAGCACCTTCTCCACATACTGCACAAATCTTTGTGTTTCATTGCGTTTTTACCTGTCTTGAAAATAATAAAGAAGAATGTGCTGGAAATGTTGCATGTTTTCTTCCATCTTCAATATTAAAATGGCTGCACAAAAATTCACCAATTCTGATTTTTTTTTAAAAAAGGCACAATGTTTTGGCAGCTGTCACAATACAGTCTAACAACTAAGCACTACTAGAGCCATCTTACAGAAAAAAAATGGAACAGACTTTCCAGCCAACCCAGTAGTGTCAGGAGTGGAACGTAGTATTCTTTCTGCATCCCAGCTCCCTGTTCATTTCCAAGGAGTAGGAGCAGGGAGTGGGGGCATCAGGATCCCGCAGTAGTGGGACCCCCAAGCTGCTGGATCTGATTGCAACTCTGCTGGTCTTCCTCCTCCAGTCGGACCCTTTGGGGTTGAATGCAACCCCACTACCCCAAGACTCGAGCTTGGCGGAAACCCCCCCGGCTGAGAACAAGCCTCGGAAGCAGCAGCTCTCGGAAGAGCAGCCAAGCGGCAACGGTGTGAAGAAGCCCAAGGTGAGTGCAGCGAGCGCCCTGGTGGGCAGTCAGCAGGTTCTGTGGTTCTCTGCAAGGGCTGGGCTTTGACAGGTTAGTCGGGGGCAGGGGTGGAGGGGGAGCCCAGGCCACAGCTCCCAGGTGCACACAGCGCTGGAGCCATCGGCCATGTCTCCTCATGCAATACCTTTGACTCTTTTTTGCTCCAGATCGAAATCCCTGTGACACCCACAGGTCCATCAGTGCCCAGCTCTCCTAATGTCCCAGGAACCCCAACACTGAAGATTTGGGGGACGTCCCCTGAAGACAAACAGCAGGCAGCTCTCCTCCGACCCACTGAGTGAGTCCCTGCTGACCGGCTTAGAGGCATCTGTCATTGGTGGCCAGCCTGCCTGGGACTGAGGGTGTGTGGTGGCCAGCAGGGTGCCCCTCCTTCCCTTTTCGCCGCTTTCCTCATTGCTCCTGTCCGTGCCCCAAGGGTGTACTGGGATCTGGATATCCAGACCAACGCTGTCATCAAGCACCGGGGGCCTTCAGAGGTGCTGCCTCCGCATCCCGAGGTGGAGCTGCTCCGCTCCCAGCTCATCCTGAAGCTTCGGCAGCACTACCGGGAGCTGTGCCAGCAGCGAGAGGGTAACTGTCCCCTGGGGCTTGGTCTCCTTTGTTGTGTCCATCTATAGCAGGAGCAAGGGTCTGCCAGCTGGGCCCACTGGTTGAGCATGCACTGCAGAGGGGGCAGGCCTGTTGGAGTCCCAGCTCCACTGAGCTCTGGCTCTGCGGGCTCGGGCTCCTCACTTAGCCTCTCGGCACTGGTTTTCTGTCATCACCTGTAAGACGGGCCACACTGGTGCCCGAGTAAAGGGTGGCTGGGGTCAGTGACAAAACACAGTTACTGACGCTTTCAGAGTGCTCACTCTTGCCAGGCACTGTCTGTAAAAGGGTGTAAAACATGAAAGCACCCACGAGTACTGCAAGGACTAGGTGGATGGCGGGTGCGCAGGAAGGGCAGCTTTAATTAGTAAATAACCCTGCTTAACTTTGCTGCAGTACAGAACGCCCCCCTCCTTACCCCGTGTAACACTTATTAACATACTTGATAAAACGAGTTATTCTCAGAATACACTTTGGAAAACGTTGCTGAGAATGGAAGCTCCTGACACCCCGCCCCGTGTCCCATTTCCTGTTGCACTGCCAATGACAATGTGGCGCCTCTCCCGTGCTGGGCTGGCTGCATGGAGTCTGCTGACTAAATCCAGACCGTCATCAGCTATTCTGTTTGCAGGCATTGAGCCCCCTCGGGAATCTTTCAACCGCTGGATGCTAGAGCGCAAGGTCGTGGACAAAGGCTCTGACCCCCTGTTGCCAAGCAACTGTGAACCGGTTGTTTCGCCCTCCATGTTTCGTGAAATCATGAATGACATTCCTATCAGGTACGGCCCCACAGCTGAGGCTGGCCCAGGGCCATTTAGTTTATGTCCAGTTCTGTATAGCAAGGCTCTAACTGTTCACTCTCTAACCTAGGTTATCTCGAATCAAATTTCGGGAGGAAGCCAAGCGCCTGCTTTTTAAATATGCAGAGGCCGCCAGGCGGCTCATCGAGTCCAGGTTTGATGTCTCTCCTGCCTCCAGCAGGAGGGCTCTATGATGGGGGTGGGGAGGTCATAGGACATTGGCTCACTCACAGGGCTCTGTCATTGCTCTTGGTGGCAGAGTGGGGCCAAGCTCCCAAAGGCTGCTATGTCAGCCTGGGGGTTGATGCCTGGAAGTGGGATGGGGAAACTTGGGGAGGGGTGGAGCAGACACTTAACCTGTGCCCCCAATATGCGCCCTCCGGCAGGAGCGCCTCCCCCGACAGCAGGAAGGTGGTCAAGTGGAACGTGGAGGACACCTTCAGCTGGCTGCGGAAGGACCACTCAGCCTCCAAGGAGGACTACATGGTGAGTGGCCCTGAGTGAGGCCCACAGAAAGGCTGTGTGGCCACTTCCTCCCAGAAGTCCCCTCTGCCTGCCCAGGCTGGGCAGGTCCCCACAGCAGCCTGTTCTTGTGCAACAGCAGACTTTTGACACTCTTCAGTCCCCACACTCACAAAAATGGAGATGTTTGTCCAGGCTCCCAGCTTCTCCCAGAGAACATTGCTGTTAAGGTTCCTAGTGAACTCCTGTGCTTGGCCACCTGCTGTCCAGACATCCCTTGAGTGACTTTTAGAAACAGTTTGACAGACTGTCTTTTCTTGGGTGTGTGTGTTCACATCGTAATCAGGAACTACCACAAGATTCAGTTCAGTTCTGTAAGGTGTCCCCAGCAGTTCTTTGTTCTGGCCCCAACTCATCGCTTCTTTACTTCACCAGCACTAGCAACGGGCTTTCCTTTCAGGACCGTTTTTCCCTCAAGAGACAAGGTTTCGCACTTCATGATAGTAACTGTGCACTTGACACTTAGAGATGACAAGTGTAGGTGTGTACTCACTAGCCAGAGTGACTCATTCTCAGTCATCACTTTCACGTGTGATTCAGCAAAACTGAAAATGCCCAGTTATCTTTGCAAGTTGCTAAAAGCTCACATTTCAAATCTGCAGTAACCAAGGAAGGACCCCGTTTTTTTAATGATCTCTCCCCCGCAGCAGACTAAAAGGAAATGTTTTATAAGCAGGGACAATGCCTGGTTGTCTGTTTCCCCAGCCAAGTATCGTGGGATCTGGCATAGGGTGACCTTGGCATTTATTGGATACTTACTGTATGTTAGGGGCTTGTGAGGCCATAAACAGGAATGATCACATTTAACATTCCAAGTGCCTTGTTAGTTAGGTATTTCAGGTGCCCTTAACAGCTGACGAATGACTCAGAGACACAGAGGGATTCATGTCCGCGACACAGCTAGTGAGTAGCAAGCTTGTTTCAAAACGAGGACCACTGCAACCAGCAGCCCTCCCCTGCCCGCCAGCCCACTAACACCCTCTCCCCCAGGACCGCCTGGAGCATCTGCGGAAGCAGTGTGGCCCCCACGTCTCGGCCGCTGCCAAGGACTCTGTGGAGGGCATCTGCAGTAAGATCTACCACATCTCCCTGGAGTATGTCAAGCGGATCCGCGAGAAGCACCTTGCCATCCTCAAGGAGAACAACATCCCAGGTAGGGGGTCGACTGGCAGGGAGCCAGCCGTCGTGCTGTCAGCCCTGTGTCCTAAGGGACTGTGAGACAACCTTGAGGCCAGACTGGTGTGGGGAAGACCACCCCTCCCAGCAGGGCCTGGGGCGTGACCTACCATGTCCTTTGGTCAGGGGTCTCAGTACTCCTCTCAGAAATAGGGAGACGCGATGAGCAGGTAGGAGACAGGCAGGCAGGGGTTAAGTACTGTTAGTTGGACCTGCATCTAGATCCATTCTCTTGTAAGACTTAGTGTCCGCAAATGGAGTTATGATACCTGGTCAGTAGGATCACATGAGGACTCAGTGGTCACTTTCTGTTTGGCCCCCAAAAGATCCCTAAGTGAGGTACTGTAACTGTTGTGAAGCCAATGCAGTTTTATTTTCACATGGCATCTGAGCCTGCTTGCCTAGCAGGCCCAGAGGCGTCGCACAGTGGGAGCCTGAGTCAGTATAGGGCCATGGACACAGGCCACCAGTTCTTGCCCCCATTGATCCCTGACCTCTCAGAGCTGCACACACTCCCCTGTGGGATGGGATGTACTACCCTTGGTGACTGGGGTGAGGGGGAGCCCCTGGCACACGGTGAGCACTGACGCTGTCCAGGGTGAGTACCGGCCAAGTGGGGACAGGGTGGTTCCTCACTGCTGTCCCTGTCTGCAGAGGACGTGGAGGCCCCGGAGGTGGAGCCCCGCCTGGTGTACTGCTACCCAGTACGGCTAGCTGTGTCTGCACCCCCCATGCCCAACGTGGAGATGCATATGGAGAATAACGTGGTCTGCATCCGGTATAAGGGAGAGATGGTCAAGGTCAGCCGCAACTACTTCAGTAAGCTGGTAAGAGCTGGCAGGAGAAGGGGGCAGGTCTTCACAGGTGGGAAAGACAAGGGCTGGATCTTTCTTGACCCCGAGTCCTGCGAATGCCCGTGAGGAAGGGGGACCTGTGCCGAAGCCCACTGCTTTCTGCCCCACAGTGGCTCCTCTACCGCTATAGCTGCATCGACGACTCAGCCTTCGAGAGGTTCCTGCCCCGAGTCTGGTGTCTTCTCCGACGGTACCAGGTGCAGGCCTGGGGCAGCAGGGGAGGGCTCCTCTGTGGGGGGTGCTGAGCCCCAGACGCTGACTGTGGCCACTCTGCAGATGATGTTTGGCGTGGGCCTCTATGAGGGGACAGGCCTGCAGGGATCGCTGCCAGTGCACGTCTTCGAGGCCCTCCATCGGCTCTTCAGTGTCACTTTTGAGTGCTTCGCCTCACCCCTCAACTGCTACTTCCGCCAGTACTGCTCTGCCTTCCCCGACACAGATGGCTACTTTGGCTCCCGCGGGTGAGAGCCAGGGGCTGCTGGGCCTCTGCTTCGCAGGCCTGGGAAGCTGTCCAGGGCAGAGATCCCACCTGGCCAGCTGTTTTCTAACGCTGTAGGGCTTTGGAGCTGGGCAGTCTCTGGTGCAGTCTCTGCCTTCACCCTACCAGGTCACTCTGTGTGACCTTGCACATGCCCCTCACCCTGCCTGTGGGTTTCTCCATTAGCCCTTACTCAGAGTGCCAGAGGAAAGAGAAATGGTGGTACAGGCCTCACAGGCCTTGTGGACTCACATGGGGGTGGGAGGCGAGCTCGGACAGGAGATGGTGTTGTCTCCAGTAGGAAGACAGGGCCAGGCCAGCAGTAGGGCAAGCTCAGCAGCTAGGGAGCTCCTGCGTGTGGCTTGTGCTGTGGTGGCCGTGTGTGGGTAAGAGCTAGATTTGCGCTCCAGTCACCTCCACAGCTTGGTGACTTGGGTTGTCAAGCCCAAGCCTGTCTTTATATATTGTGGAGATGGCCACCTGTCCCAGGATAAGTTAAGGGTCATCGTTGGCCTCTGGGCCTGGTCAGGCCCATATCTTCAGTGTGGCTGCCTAAGGGTGGGCAGCACCTGTTTTTGGCTGCGAGATCAGAACTTAGAACGCTCACCTCTGTCCCCAGGCCCTGCCTGGGTTTCTCCCCGCTGAGTGGTTCCTTTGAGGCCAACCCTCCTTTCTGCGAGGAGCTCATGGATGCCATGGTCTCTCACTTCGAGGTGGGTATGCTGCTGATGGGCTGGGGGGTGGCAAGCAAGATCGCCAGCCACCTGGAGAGCAGCCCCTGACAGCCATCCCTTGCCACCTCCCGTAGAAACTGCTCGAGAGCTCTCCAGAGCCCCTGTCCTTCATTGTGTTCATCCCCGAGTGGCGGGAGCCCCCGACACCGGCGCTCACCCGCATGGAGCAGAGCCGCTTCAAACGCCACCAGCTGGTCCTGCCCGCCTTTGAGCACGAGTACCGCAGCGGGTCCCAGCACATCTGCAAGAAGTGGGTGCCCAGGGAGGGCTGGGGCAGGAGGGCTGGGCCAACTGGGCAGGCCGAGCCCTACCCTGAGCTGCTGCTTCTGCCCACAGGGAGGAGATGCACTACAAGGCCGTCCACAACACAGCCGTGCTCTTCCTGCAGAACGACCCTGGCTTTGCCAAGTGGGGGCCGACAGCTGAGCGGCTGCAAGAGCTGATCGCTGCCTACCGGCAGTCTGGCCGCAGCCATGGCTCCAGCTCCTCCTCTTCCTCCTCCTCGGAGGCCAAGGACCGGGACTCAGGCCGAGATCAGGGTCCTAGCCAAGAGCCTCACCCCACTTAACACACCCTTCGGGGAGGAGGAGCCCCAGGGCACTGGCGCGGACTGCAGGACTCATGGCCCTTGGGCTGCCAACGACATAGGAAGACTGGCTCTGCCAAGGCTCCCCTCCCTGCCCCACCACCAACCTCCCACCTCAGACTCCAAGTCCCTGTAAATAGGCCCCACCCCTTCTCCCCCTACCTGTGCAACCTTATTTCATTTGTAAAAGGAAATACAAAAAACCCTCTCCTAAGAATGAGTGAGGGTCTTGAGGGCAGAGAGGGCTCAGGAACCTGGAGCCGCTCAGGGACCACAGCTCTGTATGTCCAGGCTCACCTCACGACCCATGGGTTGTCCCACCCCAGGGCTCTGGTGTCTACTTCTTGTCCTGCTCTCCCCACAACTGGGACCCTGGTGGCCTCAGCCTCTGCCGAGCAGGTCTGGAGTCCAGAGCCCTGCACCATCTATCTGGTAAGCCCCACTCCCACTGCTGAGCCTGTGTTAGTCCTCCTGGGGAGCAGGGGTCGGGCAGCCACGCCCGGGAGGAAAGCTGGACACCTGGCCCTGAAACCAGGCAGCGGGTGTTTTACAGGCAAGCGTCAGGAGGAAACGCAGCTCAGAGCCATCGCAGGCCTCACCGTGGCCTCTGTGCAAGTGGGCTCCTGGCTGTGCTGCCCTTCCTTTGTGGACCTGTGTGTGGAGCAGGTGCCCCTCGGGGCCTAGGGGCTCTCCCAGGCCGTGTCAGGCCTGCCCTGCTTTGGGGCCACTGTACTTACACAGGCGAGGCTGGATGCACTGCAGGCCAGGCTGCCTCCACCTCACTCCCCCCTTGTGGCTGTAACAGGCTCCACCTTTCCTTCTGCTCCCCAAGTCTTGCCTGCTTCATGCTGTAGCAACAAGTGGACAAATCGAGCTGGCCAGGGCTGGACTCTGTCCCTTTATTGAGACTGAGAGGCCAGTGGGTCCATCCAAACAAAAATAAATTTCTCTCCCAAAGCCTGCCTGCAGGCTGGGCACCCAGAATGTCCCGGCTGGTGCCCGTGGTTGTCCCCCAACCCCCACAGCACAGGTCTGGCTCCCTTGGAGTGACAGGATGCTGGCTTCCCAGTATCCGGAGACCCCAGGTGGACCAAGGACATAAGTCCTGGTGGGGCTCCCTCCCCTGTGCAGGGTTGGCCCCAACATCCATGGTCTGTGTTGTGCCCTGGGGCTCAGTCATCGGTCAGGGTGATGACATCGTACTCGACGCCCTGGTGTTGTAGCTGCTGGATGTGTTCGGGCACCGTCTCCTCTGTGCCAAACAGGCCCTGGGCTTGGGCCATGGCAGCGTCAGCCACCGCTGCCAGAGGAGGGGAAAGGATAGTGAGCCTGAGGCCCCAGAAGCTAGGCCTGGGCCCCATGGTCCTCAGGGCCAGTACCATACCTGTGACCGCCGAGTGTGCTGCAGCCTCAAGCTGGGCCTGTGTGACGAGCTGCTGGTCTGGGGACACAGGCACATACTGGATCTGGAAGGGAGAAGCCCGTGAGATGCCTTGGAGAATCCTGCCCATGCCCCAGCTCCACTGGGCCCCCGAAGCCCACCTGGGACTCCTGAAGGAATGGGGCGCCTTGTTCATACTGGATGTGTGTGATCTGGCCGTCCTGTACCTGGAGAGAGGGAACCGACCTGGTGACTCTGGGAGGAGCTGTGCATCCCCTTCCCCCATCCCACCCTCACCCCAGGCCTACCTGGATGTGATGGCCCTCTGGGACTACGACATACTCCTGGGGCACAAGGTGCTGCACTCCATCCTGGGAGATGATGTACTGCACCTGAAGGAGGGCGGACAAGAGGCGGGTGCCAGGCCCTGTTCACCAAGAGCTCAGCAAAGACACCAGAGCGGGGGCACTGGGGACACCACTGGCAGCTGCAAGCACACACCCTGGAAGGGGTGGTTTGGGAAGTACTGCTTGTCCCCAAAGCAGGGCCTGGGATGTGGGCACTCAGGCTGAGGTGTTCCACTCACCTGGTTGTCAGAGGTCACCAGATGCTGCACTGTCTGGCCATCTGCTGTGGTGATCTCTTGGATGTAGGTGGCTTCCTCCTGCCACAGGCAAGCCAGTGCTGGCCTCAGCTCTCCATGTGCCCCAACCCTGCCCTTGACCTGCCAGCAGGGCCCTCTGCGCAGGCTCTTACCTGATTGGTCACTGTCTGCTCCTGGGCTACGATGATGTGTTCCTGGCCCAGGGCCTGCTGGAGCTGCTCTGGGCCCAGGACCCCGTGGCTGGACTGCAGGGCAGCTGGGCAGAGAGGGGAGGGTGCTCACTGGGGGTTCCAGGAAAAATCTGAAACGGCCTGGCTCCCACCATGGCCCAAGGGTGCTCTCTGGGGCAACAGCTCAAGTCCCTGGTCTACCCTGCGTCCCCGGGGCAGCTCACTGTGCAGTGTGGCCAGTGTCTCATCATCACTGTTCAGGATGATGGTCTGGGTAGAGGGCTGGGCTGGGGCCCGGACAGTCGGGGTCCCTGTCTTCCTCCCATCGGGACTGTGTAGCCGCTGGATGTGGAACTTGAGGTGCCCGTTCCGGTTGAAGCTGTGGGGAAGAGACGAAGGCTTAGGGGTGGCCCTACCATGCGTGCCGCCCAGCAGCCCCTGCCCAGCCGTCCCCAGCCTCACCGCTGCCCGCAGAGGTGGCATGAAAAAGGCTTCTCGTTGGTGTGGGTCAGCACGTGCCGCCGCAGGTCCTTCTTGTTCTTGGAGGCAAAGCTGCACTGGCTGCACTGGTGGGGCCGCAGGCCGGAGTGCTGCACCATGTGGGCCTGTGGGGGACAGACAGAGCTGTAGGGGAGCCTGTCCCCTGAAAGGGCTCTGCAAGGAGCCGGACAGAAGGCACACACCAGACCAAGATTTGGGGCTGCACACTTACAAGAGCGAAAAGCCATCGGCTCTGCCATCAGGTCACTCGGAAAACCTGTCCCTGCTCTCAGACTCAGTTTACCCCAAGTAACGTACACTTTCAGATGGAGCGACCTCTGACAGTCTCCCCCAGCCCTGACATTCTAGGGCCCTGGGCCCAGCTCCCCAATTTCAGCTGCTGTGAGAATTTAGTGTGTGGCTATATGGAAATCCCCAGGGAGAGGGAGGGAGAGGGAGGGAGCCCCCCCGAACCGGACCATGACCTGGTCCTGGAACCTTCCTTGGACTCTGTGTGCTCTGTACTCTGAACAACCCGAACTTCCCTGAGCATGCCTCCACACCTCCTCTGTGACGCCCCCTGCACCCCAGGCCCATGTTCCCCTCTGTGCTCTGCCATGGGTACTGTTCACTCTGGGGGCACTGCTGGGTGCCAGCCATGTTGTCTGGTCTCCCTCCCCCCAGACGGAGCCACCTGAGTGCCTTGCTGAGTCATCTCTGACTAGAGGGAAATGGACAGCTGGCTCGAGGGGGTGCTCAGTCAGGGTTTGTCACACAAGCCGGTGCCAGCTAGGGCACAGGGGACTGCACTTACCCGGACCTCAGGCCACTGGCGGGCACTGAAGGGGCAGTCAGGGCACTTGAAGGCACTCGGGCCGGCGTGGGCCCGTTTGTGGCTCTCCATCTCAGCACGGCCGAAGAAGGCCTCGGCACAGATCTTGCAGGAAAATTTCTTGGATGATGCGGTGGCTGCAGATGGTGGTGAGGGGGGCACTACTAGGCCCAGGGCTTTGCTGGTTGTAGGAGGTGGGGAGGCAGAGCCCTGGGGGTCCCCTACTGGGCGGGTTCTGGCTGGAGACAGGGACTCAGGGCTGTCTCTGGGCAGCCCCCCACACTGCAGCAGAGGCCACTTGGCTCCAGAGGCGAGCGCATCAGGACTTGGGAAGGAGATGGAACCATCCGCAGTCAGCTGTGGACAGATGGGAGTGTGAGGCGCTGAGCGGGGTGAGGGGCCGGGAAACGGGGCAGGGTGGGCTACCCAGCTTCACCTCGATGTGATGCAGCTGGGTCCCGTCGGCTGCCATGATGTAGTGGGTGCCAGCTTCCTTCAGGGTGTCGCTCACAACCACAGTCTGGGCTGCCTCCCCTGGGGGCTCCTCACTGTGGGCACAGAGGAGGGGAGAGGCGAACCAGGGTTCTGAGAAGGGCCGGAGGGCCACCGGAGTGCCCTTCCCCAAGAAAGTCATCAGCTGCAGGGTGAGTGCATCAAGGGTGGACCCCGGATTAAATCCTGGCTCCGCTCTGAACCTCCGCTGTCTCTGCTGTCCGTGGTGCTGTGTCTGGAGTACCGTGCTCTCAGGGGTGGTGACCCTGCCACTTGCTGGGCACGGTGGGGAGCGGCAGGGCGGAAGCTTGAGGGGTCCAGCCCAAGGCTGGTCAAGTTGGGGCGTCGGGGCTGCCAGAACCCACAGCCCAGGACCAGAGGGCAGGTGCTGTAACCGGGCTGCCAGGCCCTGGCCCAGCGACCCTGACCCCCGTCCCTGCTTCCCAGTTCGGTGCGTGAATTCAGGCCTTCCTCAGACGGCCTGGGCATTGGTCAGCACACAGACACAAACAGTTCTGCCCCAAACTTGCTCAGCGTGGAGGGAACTGAGAGAAGACGCCAGGCCTCCCTTCCATGCCAGCAAGGAGCCCGAGTTTGTTCCAAAGGTCAGAACTGGGAAACGCCTCAGGAACCATCCAGAGCAAAGAGCACACGGGCTCCGGAACCAGGGGGAGCAGGGCTGAGACCCTCACCCACTGCACGTCTGACCCCACTGGCCTGCTTTCGCATTCGTAAAATGAGGGAAACGTGGATCTCACGGGAACGGTTTAGGTGAGTTCACGGATGTCCACTGCCTGGAACATCTAAGTGGCCACAAGACAGCAGCGCCTGACTCCTGAGAAGGAGACAGCTCCCCTGTGGCCCAATTGTTCTACAGGTATTAGGACTTTCACCTCCTGCCAACTGGGTCTGGATGGGCACACTTACACTGGGCTGAGGCAGCCTCGCAGGCGGCAGGCCTTACCTGTAGGGTGTGCCGGGAGCTGATGTCCCCTCTTCCACAGGGGGTGCTGTGATGACGCTGTACCCAGCCCCACCAAAGGGACCGGGTGCCAGGGTGATCTGCTGTAGGTCAGGCTGGCCTAGCGGGCTCTCGGCTGCCGCTCCGCCCCCAGGTTCTGCCACATGGAGGGTTACCACTTGTGCAGCGGCTCCCGAGGTGTGGGGCTGCCCACCGGGGGCTGCCAGCTGTGCTTCCCCATCCTCTGACTTCACCACAGCCACCTGCAACGGCAGTGGGGCACATCTGGAGTAGGGTCTGCGGGAGCTGGGCCTCCGCCAGATCCCGTGCCACCAGCACTCATTTGCACAACCCCAACTGTGTGTTCTTTCCGAAACACAACCCGGCTTCCCAAACCCCAGCCAGAATTTGGGAGAACCACACAGCCCTCCCAGGGGCACGGGGCAGTGTCTGGAAACATTCTTTGGTTGTCACAATTGGAGAGGGGGTGAAATGGGTGTCTGAGGGGTAGAGGTCAGGGATGCACAGGACAGCCACCATCACGAAGAATTATCTGGCCCCAAGTGCAAGGGATGAGAAATCTTGGCATAGACAGACAAGCAGCAAACCACTTAAAAAAAATAAAGATCTTGCTCCTAAGTCTGCTTCAAATGGGTTAAAGACTGAGACATAACAGTAAAACTCTCAATATGTATGGAGAAAAAAATGTGGATAAGTATTTTTATAATCCTGGGGTAGGAAGATTTTTCTGGTCATGACAGAAAAACAGCAATAACCTCCAGCAAAACAAATCATGAGATCAGAAAATAAAGAGACTGGGAGGTGAGCAGGATTTAGCAATTTGTACCAGAAATAAAAGACGGATTTCTACCCTGGCTGGTGTGACTCAGTAGATTAAATGCTGGCCTGCGAACCAAAAGGTTACTGATTGGGTTCCCAGTCAGGGTACATGCCTGGGTTGAAGGTTTGGTCCCCCAGGGAGGTGCGTGTGAGAGGCAACAGACTGTTTCTCTCCCTTTCTTTCTCCCTTATCCTCTCTCTAAAAACAGGTAAATATTTTTTTA